GATGTAACGAACTAATCAACAAAATAACTAACATAAATTTCAAACAATTCAAAAAAACAACAATAACGACAGAAATTCATACTAAAAAAACAATGAACATAACATTCTACAAAATATGAACAAGAATAAAATAAAATGCACTTACCATTAATGCTTTTCGAACAACAGAAATGCCAATTTCAAACCGCCTTTAACATACCGCCAAGTAATCACTATCGTATTTATATGACAGCCAGACACACTATCCAGAAAATTCATACTATGGTTCACAAATAAATAAAATAACAAATAATCACAAATCCCTACTTCTATCATACACAGCCACTAAAAATAATCTCCCAGACCCTCTTTCCACGTCTCCAAATACCCACTGCCCCTCAGTTGGATGGCCACGACGATATTTCCTTTTGCCGAACTTCAATTCAACAACTTCCACCATTTTATCTTTCCCCCCTAGCTTCTCAGACACAGAGCATGACGCGAACCAGCGAACTCCAGCGAAAGATTTTTCAACGTCAACAGGGTTGCCATACAACACGCAATTGCGCCAAAAACCAGTGCAGAACACATATCGCCACATTTGGTGAAATTAGGGCGTATATCAGAGTTGTACCCAATCTGCAAAAGAAAATGTGGTTAGAGTAGAGAGAGAGGTACCCCTCGTATTATCGCAGAGTTGTTGTTTCATTTATGATAGCCTGAGTAGTTGAATGTTATCCTATTATGATGTAATCGGTTGCATGATTGCGGTAAATTCATATGGGCTTGTGGTGTGTGTTGGTTAGGAAGTATATTGCTTGTTTTGTGGTTTAGATGGTAAAATCGCTGAATGTGGTAAGATTAATATGAAGTTCCTGTACGACTTGGAAAGAAAGGGGAAAAGAGCATTACTAGACTGGTGCGTAAATAAATAAAAGTTTATTTAGTAGCCATTATTAGGTGTCCTGTTTGTACGAAGGAAATGCCTATGGTCGAACGTCGCTACAGAGGATATTTTTTACTCTTCTTTTGTGAATTTATGTAGCGACGCCAGTATACAGATTCTAGTTCAGATAATTTTAGGAAGTTTTTGGATGCTGTTAAGGACTTTTGTTTGACTGAAGGCGTGTTAATTCGTAAATAAGGTAAGTGGCTATGTCCTTTGCATAGTGCAAAGATGAATTTCCTTTTTTATGTAATTTCATTGTTTAAAATGTAGTTTATTGAGATTATATATTTTTTTGTTGGCTCCTCCTTTGACTTTTTAAGTGAATATAGTTCGATGTGTACATGGACAAAGTCAAGGAATGTGCAAAGCCTAGTTTGTGCAATCCTACGATTTTTTTTTTTTTTTTTTTTTTTTTTTCTAAAATGAAAACAGGTCAATGTGTACATGGATAAAGTCAAGGGAGTGCACAATGCCATTTTTGTGCAATTCTGGATTTTTTTCAAGTGAAAATAATCGATGTGCACATGGATAACAAGTTTGTGCAATTCTTTGTCTTGTTATTTTGGCTTTGTGTAGTGGTGATTTTTGCATCATTATTGGACAAAAATGCAAGACCAGTCAATCACATTATTCATGACAAGCTAAAGTTCTGAAGGGTGAGTACAAGAAGAATGTACAAGACTTGATCATTTAAAACGGGGGGGGGGGGGGGGGGGAAACATATTGATGCTTACAGAGAGCTCTTCTTTTAATATGAGGCTAATCATTAAATATTTCTATAGCATACTACTATAGGAGACAAGAATATGGATACTTCTGGAGAGAAAGAAATTGAATTACCAAGATGCTTGGTCTATTATAAACATGGATGTAAGAAAGGAAGGAGTGGTCAAACCGGTACTAGAAGTGAAGTACTGCTTCAAAGCTTCGGTCACCAGATGGGGTGTTTTTTTGTTTACATTCAGAAGCTCGCTTGACAGCGCGCTCTGATAGTATTTTGACACACGATAGTTCTATACAAATCGAGAAACGGGACACTTCCGCATAAAAGAAACATTCCTAGTATGATGGACAATAGCAATTTGTATAGTTTAGAGACACGCAAAAATCACATCTTGGTTATTTTTCGATAATTAACAACAGCGATTTTGATTATCAATTTGTTTTATAAAATTCTAAGCTGTTGAACTACAAAAATATAGATTTTAGCAAAAAAGTTATGCTTAAAGAATGAAAATACCTCACTGAACCTTTAAAATTATGTACATTTTTCGATACCCTTAATACAGTATTCGCTACTTTTATTTTATGTTCCAAACGCCAAAATGTTTTAAATAAAATTAATTTTTTTCACATCCACATATTATTGTAACACATACCTTTTAAAATTAGTGTAAATTACTTTACTCGAAAAATATAGTGAATGCAAAAAAATTAAAGATTTCCACATGCCGGAAATGAAAAATATGAAACATGTATGGGTATTTATGCATGTGCTTCCAAAATGCATGTATCTGATTTTAACAAAATACGTAAATAATTATTTAATTATTTATAAATGTATTTGAAATGAAGGATTTATTCATTCATAAATAACCATGAGAAATCTAATTATTAAATGCATCTAAATTTATAATGATTATAAATATTATCTAAATATATAATAACCTTAACATTGAATTGTAAACATAAATTGACATCCTGTTCACAAATACATTATAAAACTATTTAAGCAAGAATTATTCGTACTGGAAAGCAATCTGTTAAAAGATATTGTTAAGCATTTTCTATGAGTTCCGTACTTAAGAAAGTAATAAAGAAGAGTTTTGGAATATGTATTGTTAAAATTAAGGGTAAAAAAATCTAACAAGTATAATTAAAAGGATTATTTCCCTTATCAGTCATATATTCCCCTTACATAAGTGACTTACAAGATTTAAATAATATTTAAAAAATAATCCTTATTTTATTCCCTTTCAGAAATATTCAGAAAATGTTAAGTACTGTTTAAAGTATTTCGCTATTAAATTAAAAGGTGCTCTAATTTGAAATGGACCAAATAGAGCATTAATTGTAAATTGACTTATAGTTTTCAATTTAAAAGATGCCTCAGAAGCTAAAAAATCAAGTCATATTTGGGAAAGTATTTTAGGAAGAAGCTCTATAAATAGAAAAGAAATAATGCATCATTTTAATAATACAATAAACTTTGATCTTAATTTTTGTAATCCTTAACCGAATCAAATCGAATTACCTTAAATTTTGTTTTCTAATGTAGTTAACGAAAACTTGTGAAAATATTTCAAATTAAACCACTCTGAGCAAACTGTTCTTTGAAAAGTATAGCATTTAATTCCATTCAGAATGAAATGTTGTTTAAAAAGTATTCTTTTCATATACTTAGGCCTCTGAGGTATTGTAGAAAAAGAAAATATATACATTTATATGCATATTTACGACGTAATTACAAAATATTTACATCCGATCGTGTCAAAACCCATTGAACTCAATGGTAAATTACCCAATGTTTTCGTCACCAAAGAAGAGATCGCCAGTGCTTCAAAGCAGGGTATGACAAAACCGGTTTAGGGCCACTCCAGTTAACTTCCTACCTCCATGATTATAAATGATTTTTTCCCCATTTTCCACAGTATCTACATTTTTTTAAGTATGATGACATATTCAATTGACAGGAACTACAAATAGTCATATTATAACTATTTGCAACGAATATTCTATAAGCAACATATTCTACTTTTCATTAAACACAGTAATTCTTATATATTAACATTCTAGTACTTTATATGCTTAACATTCTAGTACTAAAAGAGAACAGACAAAAATTATTTTCTCTTATCCATCCAAATAGCTAATTTCACTGATTTTTATAAAATGCACTTTTTTCTAAAACTGTGGAAGATTATTTAGTGTTATTTATTGTTTTGGTTTTAAAGAGGATAATAATTAAAGGGGTTATTTGAACAAATAAGCTACGAGAATTTTTTTACTGAGGTTCTTTGAAGAAGTTAAGGTCGAGAAGGTTATGTGAAATACTCGTGAATATGTTAATTAAGAAAAAAGCTGTTATGATAGATGCTATTGAGATAAAGATAAGATAAACATGAGTTCAGTTTATAGGCTTAATTATAATGAAAATTTCACTAACAGAGTTTACAGATGGATGAACTGATATCTGAATAAAAGCCATATTGGCAGATTTCAACACTCAGAAAATCCTATAATTACACTTCCTAAATACTTTTCTTCCATAAGAGATTAAACATTTCTTTGTATTTGATTTCCTACAGGTTAAAATATAACATTATGCAAATAATTACACTTAATTATTTTTTTTTAAATGCACAAATGCTTTTATATGCTAAATTTTTACTTACATATTCAATGAAAGGACAATATTTCTTCTCATAACTTAAAATGATGCGGTTGATATAATAATAAAGAATAACAGTGCATTGAAGAATAACAAACTAACAGCATAAATACAAAAAATATGTTTTTAACCACATATAATTACAAGACTAACTCCACATATCATAATCATCACAGAGAAATAAAAGGTAGTTCCTGAATAGCATAAAAATTTTAAGGTCTAAAAAACTTCAGTTTGACTTGCACCCTACTTGAAAAAAAAATTTAATTAAAATTTGTGTAAAGGATTTCTACGTTTCATTTAATAGCTACAATATGATATTTGTTCTGAAAATCTAGTTACTATATATATTTTAGAAGGTTAATTTATACCAAAATTTTAAATCCTGCCAAAAGACTGTGTTTAACGTTTCACTTTTACATTACCACACAAGTTCTCAGACAAACAAAATGGAAAGATAATTACAAGTTATTAACCACTAAGCTCGTTGCTTCAGTAGAAAATTGGTAAATTACAAGAATGCTAACACATTTATTTAGTTTTAATGGAAAAATTTGATTATAACTAAATTTTGAGGACTATTTTTATAATTTTAAATTTCTTATCCAAGTGTGATTAAGAAAATATTTTAAATTCATTCTTCTTATAGTAATCCATAATATCTAAATATATATAATTCACCTTCAGGGATAAAAGTTCCCATTACCAGCTTTTTAAAGATATGCTGTTTAAAAAAGTTTAATTTTTGTTACAAAGAAAAGACGGATTTGCAATCACTTAATATCCTCTAACCAAAACAATGAACATAATCAGTTGAGTCACATGCTTTAAAGCTTCGTTTTGTAAATAATTCTATTGTTGCCACTCGCAAATTTGTATTTAGATTTTTAATACTGTGATCATCTAGATTTTGATAAATTTCATTTTATGCTTGGGATAAAGTTCTCTTGATGAGCGATCTTAATTGTATAGTATCCAGTATATTTATTTGTTTCTACGTAGAAAATGGCTAATGAAATGAACGTAGAAAAGTGTCTAATGTAGTGCGCAAGTTTACTACCTTTGGAGCAAACTAAAAGATGTAAAAAGAAAGTTTGTGTGCAAATTATTATGCCAGAAGCATGTTTTTTTATTACGCAAAAAGCATGGTTTTTGTTTGGAGAAAGTGTTTTAAATGTATGTGACAATAATCATTATTTATTACTTCTGCATCTGGCAACAGTGATTGTATTGTAAATTGTTTGGACTTGAAAATGAAAAAATTTTCCTTGCTTATGTTGATGTTTAGTTGAATTTGATTGTATTATCATGGATAAAAGTCAGAGTGAATTAACTGATAAAATCAGATCTGCGATAAAGAAAAAACTGACTGAAATAAATGCTTTCGTTGATGATGAACTTCCAGAGTATATAATGATTCTAGTTGCTAACAAACGTAGCAAAGCTCATATTGAAAAAGATTTGTCTCTTTTTCTTGGCAGTGATACTGTAGATTTCACTAATTGGCTGTGGGACTTGCTAAATAGTTTGTCTGGATCTAAAGGAAATTCTGTTTCCGGGAGCAAAAGGCATGAAGAAGATTCTAATACAAAATATGTGGATGAAGACGCAGATGTATTAGATTATGATCCTGCCGAACAAGAAGGCGATTTTCTTTGCCAAGAAGATACGAATGAAAGTCTTATTAGTCATTCTTCAGCTAGGCAAGATCAGTCGAAGTCGATGAAAGTTTCTGAAGCACCTTCTAAAGCGAAAGATCTACTTCCCGTACATCTTAAAACGAAAGAAAAGGTGATTGAATCTTTAAACCCGGTAGAAAAAAAAGCTGCGAAAGTTCACCCTCTGCAACCTACTGCTATAATATCTCCTTATTCTTCAGTAGCACCTATTAAGAAAAGAAGTGAAGTTGATTCTACGGATGAGTATGACCCAACCAAACCAGACTATGTTGGAAGCATGCCTAGTGTAGTGTGTGTTACTCAGAGAAAATATGGTGGTAGTGCTGCTCTTCAGGCAAATAAATTATTGTTAAGAGCTGTGGATGATGCTACAAAATCGGTGTTAGATGGTAAAAGTCTGAATGATTACTATAAGCCTACTCCTATAAAAGTTTTGGCTTCTAAACAAAAGGAAGAAACTGTAAGTTCTGATTCCCATGATATTTTTAATGTTACTTTTGATGGCAGTATTTTAAAATCAAAAGTCTGTGCAAAAAATTCCAAATATATAGATTTTGATGATGATAGTAATTTTTCATCTTTGGACATTGTAATGGATGATAACTTTGGTGCATTACAGCCATCATGTAATCGTACAATTCATTTAAAAGAAGCAAATGATATTTCTTCTGAGTCTTGTTTTGATAACATGGAGGTTATTTCATCAAATGATTATTCTGTACGCAATGATGAGGAGGAACAAAGCTCTAAGTCACCTCATTTTATTGTAACTTTAGATGGTGTAAATTTAAAATCTCTCAAAAGGAAAAGACACGAAATTTGTAGCTCAGAAGAGGAGGAAGAAAATGAAATTATTCAAGAGAAAGAACTGACTGACCTTATACCTCCCAAAAAGCAAAAATTGAATGAGAGGTGCAAATTCTGGCCTGCTTGTAAAAATAGTGATCAATGTACATATCATCATCCAACTTTACCGTGCAAATGCTTCCCTAATTGTAAATTTGGTGATAAATGTATGTATATTCATCCAAACTGTAAATTTGATGCTTTGTGTAGTAGGAAGGATTGCCCATATACTCATGTAAGCAAGCGCAAACTACCACTTGCTGTAATTCCCATTATTAGGCCTGTGAAGAATCGAAGTATCAAAACAGTGTGCAAATTTTATCCAAGATGTACAGCAAAAAAATGTCCATTTATTCATCCAAAATTATGCCGTTTTGGTACTTTATGTAGGTCTCCACAGTGCCCTTACACTCATGTTAATGTACCTTCACGTAATCAGATGAAATGGCAAGCAAATATTTGATAAACTTTTGAAGCCCTTCATATCTTGTTTCATTTAGTTTATTATTTAGTAACATGCAGTTAGTTATGCAGTGTTTCATATGAATTACAAATATGGTTTCTGAATTATATGTATGTATTTATTACTTGATCAAATAATACAATCTTTTTAATTGCAAAATGCACATTTTATATAATTGAAGTTATAACGATTGGTTTATAGAGTATTTATTGCATTTTCAAATATTTTATATTATAAAATAAGTTGAAAAGTTCTTCATAAATTAGAAAACTGAATATTTTGATTTCTTGGGGGGGGGGAGGAATTGTATCTGTATTCAATCTATCTCAATTCAGGATCAAACTATTTTAGAAAATATTTAAGGGTACCCCTTGGCAATTTTTGGTGGTACATGAATACCGAATTTGTGCAATTATTTGACTTATTATTTTGGCTTGCGTAGCATTGATTTTTGCACCAAATATCGCTGCTACACAAAGCCAAAATAACAAGACACTTTCTTGACTCTTTGCCCATGTACACATCAAACTATTTTCACTTAAAAAGTCAAAGGAGGAGCCAACAACAACAAAAAAAAAAAAATTATCTGAATAAACTACATTTTAAATCAAACAATGAAATAACATAAAAAAGGAAATTCATCCTAGCACTACACAAAGGAAATATCCACTTACCTTATTTACAAATTTATGCGTCTTCAGTCAAACAAAATTCCTTAACAGCATCCAAATGCTTCCTAAAATTATCTCAACTAGAATCTGTATACTGGTGTTGCCACATAAATTCACAAAAATAAGAGTAAAAAGTATCCTCCATTCGAAAATATCTGATGTTTAACCATACGCATTTCCTTCCTTCAACCAAGACACTTAATAATGGCTACTAAGTAAACATTCCTTTACACACCAGGTCAATTAATGCTTTTTTTTCCTTTCGTTCCAAACCCTACAGAAACTTCAAATTAATGTTACCACATTCAGCCAATTCACCGTGTAAACCACAAAATAACAATGTACTAATCCATCACACATAAGCCCTTACCCAAAATTCGACGTACACTTTCCAAATTTTTCCCCATGGTTCAAATTCATTGCAACCAATTACGTCATAATAGGGTTTCCATAGCATTCAACTACTTAGGTTGTCGTAAATGAGACAACAACTTGGCGGTAAATGAAAACAATTTGGCGAGAAATGAAACAGCAATTTCTCTATAATACAAGGGGTACCCTAAAGTCAACTCTAACCGAAAAGATAAACTAACGATATTTATTGGACATTCAATGGACAAAATGAATTTAGATTCTTTTGCTTTTGAAAAGATGAGTACTTCTTCATTAAAGCAAAAGTCTATGGCAACATTTGAAAGCAGCTTATTATGGATTAGACAATTAAATTTGCTAATTGGGCAATTAAGTACGGTGACCACTTTAACACAAAAGTACAACAATATTCATAATGTGTGATAATCAATTTCACAAAAGACAAGTTTTAAGTTTGTTTTAACATGAATGAATACTGCATATATATTCTTATATATGCATTTTAACAAAAATATATATTGTATATATTGCACAAATAAATGTTTGTTATTTCTAAGTTTGTAGAGAATTTTTTTAATAATTTAGTGTATATTTGGTAATGCAGTTATTTCTTGCTATCGAGAAATGTAACCTTTAGCTGAGGCAGTTTTTTTAACTATGCTTATATAAATAAACAATCCTGAAGTGTATCTATTTGGTTTAAAACTATTTTAGGAAGAATATTTCCTGAAAGTATTCACATTCAGCAAATATTCTTCCTAAAATAGTAACTATGAAAACATATCAATATCACTTATAACGTAATTAACTATGGAAATGTTTTTACAAAGTATATGAAATTTGAAAATAACTATGAAGTGGTCTTGCCATTCAGTTGTTAAACAAAGAATATAACCATTCAAATTAAGCATATATTGATTGATATGTTTCAATAGCTACAATAAATTAGAAAAGTTACTTTTTAAATTAAAAAACATTTTCAATTAGTCTAATCTGTTTTTGAAAACCATAAACTAATTATGGATTGCATTTCACAAAATAATGAAAAAAGTAAATAGGTATTTCTATACATGAAATGTGATATACAGTACAAAGTCTTTAATTGGTTGATCTTTACAATATGGTAACTGGTAGTTTGGCGACATTTTGGAGGCGATAAAGGTTACTACCTGGCACTTTGGTAATAATGTGAGCAGTACTCAGTTCCGATTACGCATTATTTTGTGTGAGGGAATTGAGAGATCATGGGATATGTCATGTGATATTAATGGATGAATTACGGTTCTTTAATCGGAAAAAAAAGGGGGGAAATCGGGAAAAAATCTGGAAATTTTGTATTTGGCTTTATTCTGTGTTGTGTGTGTGAAACGTGTTGGTTAATTTTTGGATCCATGGCCGTAACTAAAGTGAATTCGAAATGGGGTATTTATGTATGTATTAATTTAATGTATGTGCTCATTTATATTTTAAGTAGTGTTTTGAATTTAGTTATATTTTAATTAAATGATAGTTATTTTGTGAATTTTATGTTAGTAGGAATTTGGTATACGTTTTAGTTGAAGTAAACGTGCATGGAAATAATTTAAATACCTGACACTAAGTATTTGTAATGGTTGCGGTATGAATTCGTTGGTGACGTGTATAATGTAATAGATGATTTAGAGGTAAAAGTTTTTGGATATTTTATTTATTTTATATGTGGAAATGTTCATTACTTTTTCGCGATCAGGTAATTTCATATATGTTCTTTTTACCGGGTTTAAAGATTGAGAAAATTGTCATGTATTTTCGTGAAATTTTTCTAATTTATGAGAAAAAAAGCAGTGTACATGGATATAGTGAAGAGTGTGCGCAATGCCATTTTTGTGCAATTCTGGGATGTTTTTTTAAGTAAAAATAAGTCAGCGTGTACATGGTTTAGTGATATTTTAATTAAATGATAGTTATTTTGTGAATTTTATGTTTGTAGGAATTTGGTATACATTTAAGTTGAAGTAAACGTGCATGGAAATAATTTAAATATTTGATACTAAGTATTTGTAATGGTTGCGGTATGAATTCGTTGGTGACGTGTATAATGTAATAGATGATTTAGAGGTAAAAGTTTTTGGATATTTTATTTTATATGTGGAAATGTTCATATTTGGAAAGGGTAAATACTTTTTCGCGATCAGGTAATTTCATATATGTTCTTTTTACCGGGTTTAAAGATTGAGAAAATTGTCATGTATTTTCGTGAAATTTTTCTAATTTATGAGAAAAAAGCAGTGTACATGGATATAGTGAAGAGTGTGCGCAATGCTATTTTTGTGCAATTTTGGGATGTTTTTTTAAGTAAAAATAAGTCGGCGTGTACATGGTTTATGTGTATGAGTTATTTTGAAAAACGCGTAAGGAGTATGGTATTGTGCACTTTTTCCCAATTTTGCAGTGAATATTTATCATGATTAAGCAGTTTTGTTAGATAAAATTTCTAGCATAAGTGTAATTCGGCTAGTAGATTGTTGGAAGAAGTGTTGAGTAGATAAAAAGAAAAGAAACATGTCTTTACTTCGTGATGACAAAATGGCGGCGGGAAAAAAAAATAGAGGGTTGCTGTAGGAGAGTTGGTCGCCAAAAAAACGCCAAGTTACTATAATGTAAAGATCAACCCTTTAATCCAGACTCGTCGGGACTTCGGCGATTCCGGATTATAGATCATCAATTTAAATCTGGTGAGGTGGCATGCAGAAATTATAAAATTAAAAATTTAAAACCGTAATTTATGAAATAAAGACCAATTATGATCTAAAGGGTATCAAATTTACTTAAAAAAAAAAGGCTTGATATTTATTTATTTACTTTATTAAACATTTCTTTCAACGCGCGCATGCGTAAAGCATACATTACGCATAGTCGAAATTAGAAAATTGCAACCAGAAAACTATTTGATGTGTATTTGTGATATTTATAATGACGAGGAATTTGATATAACCCATTAACTGCCAAAACTATAAGGAATGTTTCTTTTCTCATGAAAATAATAACAAATATTAAATTAAGTATTTATAACATAAATTACATTGAAAATTTAAAAAATTCTCTTACCTGTGGAAAACGCGAGTGTTGCGTTCGCGCAACGTCAGCGGAATAAGACTACGCACTTTTAGTGAATAGGATTGTACTCGTGTGATGTTTTTTTTGAGTGGAGCGCAGGATTACTTTTTAGCTGTATAACGTTTTATAAATCTAGAAATCACTTGTAATTAATTTAATTTTAAAATATACATTGTTTCTTTTACAAATACAGATTATTTCAATTGAAAGATTCAAGCATGAAAAGCTTGATTACAATCATGATGTAAAGCTACATTACATACTTTACATGTGTAAACAGTCTGGCTATGGTACTCTTTACAACAAAGTCTTTTGTTATCAACGGATTTTACGATAAAATGTATAACATCTCCATGCAATGGTTTTTGAATGCTGAATTTACTGGGTCTTCCTGTTGCTGACCTGTTTCTACCCTCTCCGTAGGAGTTTGCAAAAGGAATAATGCATTCTTGCGTCTAAAATCTAAAAGAGACTTTACATTTCCAGTACAGTCAAAATTCGTTAATTCGGACACCCATAATCCGGACCTCAAACCTACAAATTTTCTGTGCATGCGCCGCGTTGACGGCTGCGAATATGCGCGTGCGCAAAATACGTTTATGAATGCGTATTTAATGTATAACGGATGGTATAAGCTAATCTAAAATTATCTGCTTCAGTTAAAGTTGCAGATTGCGTTGTCCCTTAATCTTCGAATTAGATCCGGCTATTTTTTGCAGACTGTTAGAGCAATTTTATAAAAGTAAGCTTGAACTTTCGATTATGTCATATAGAATTTCTGATATATATTTACTAATATGTAAAGGATCTACAAAGCGAAAGTATGTTTTGAAGTCCATTAAACAAACAGTGGAATTGCTGCAAAAAATGGATCCTTTACATATAAAGGCATATCCTTTGTTTATCTAAACTTTGTTTATCTTTAACGCCACGGCGCACAATGAATTGGAAGTTGATCTGTCAGCACTATTCTTATCTTCAGGGTAGATATTTTTATGGTACTTATGTATTATCACAACC